GGACTGAATGGAATGTAGAACAAATGTATTGGTTGCTTTGAATCTGTGCTCTAATCCATAGATAACATTGTCCAAAGTTGCATCAAAAACATTCCTTCTGAATAAAGATTCTGGATCATTTTCAGAGATGGTAGAACATGATTCCTCAGCTGTGTCATCATGAAATCTTTTCCACTTCTTGCCTTTCTTCTTTGGTAATTGTGGCAAAATTCCCATACCTTCTCCTACAAGACATGCTTCCTGTAGAATTTAGGGCCACTGATCTCCAAGTTGTTTTACTTCTTCAATTATATCAGTAATGAAAGCTGCCTCCGATTCAAGAGAGATTCCCTTGGCTTGTAAAATCTTGTTTCTGTTATCAGTACTTGAAAGAACCTTGTACCAGAAGCTAGCCAACAAAAGGCATGAAAATGAGCTGAAGTACCTTTTCAGTGCTTTCAGCTGTGATTGAGCTTTGTGTGTCAGATTTAATTCAAGAGCACATTCCAGTACTTCCAGAATACCTGGAAGATGCTTTGTGAGTGGACAGATAGCATCAGCATGTGCACTCCATGAGTGTGTGTCTGACAGAGTCTTGTGAGCAGTGTATCTTATCTGTTACAAATCTTCCACCTCACCGGGCTAGCACTGAAAAACACAAAATGTTGCTGCGCGCAACCAAAAAATGTTAATATTTCAGTACATGCTTCTGGAGCATTAACTCCTACAAGATTTAGTGAATGGGAAGCACAAGGAGAATACATGACAAATTCATTTTCTGAACACCTTCTATTCTACTTCACATTAGAGCCATTATCAAAACCTTGACCTCTACAGTCATCAAGAGGAATGTTATGATGCTTCAAGTTAGCAATTAGCATTTCAGCTATCTGTTCTCCATTTTTTAAATCAAAGTTGATAAACTCAAAAAACCTTTCTTTAATGTTAAATGTACCAGTATCTTTGTTGTGAACTACAAATCCGAATATCAACATGTATTATTCGTGGTGAGACACATCAGGAGTAGTGTCACATATGATAAAATAATAGGTCACGTGTAGATGAAACAAGGGGCATGTGCACACAACACTTTAAAGTGTACTAAATGTTTTTGCACCGCTTTAATGGCATCAGTGTTTGCACGCCTCAGCGGTGTATTGCACATTAATTCCAGTTGCTGTAGGAAACTTGGTGGCATAATGAGCCTTAAATGACTTGGGGCACAGCAAACTAAAAGTCCTCTAAGGAGTTTTAGTTTACCGCCCTACAGCTGTGGAGCAAAGCACTGGGCTCCATGCAGCTCTGTGGCTCTGCAGGAAGCCCTACAGGTAGCATGGCAGCAGCCCGGGAAAGCAGGCTGTACCCAAGAAAAGCAGTGAGCCGGATTCCCCCTGCCTGAACTGTGTGGGGCCCCGGTGCTTTCCTCTGCAGCTGCGGTTTCCTTCGGGACTGCCTGAGCCAGGTGCCTGTGGGCAGGTGCCACCTGGGGGTTGAAGGGCGCTGCTACAGTGGAGGGCAGCACCAGCCCTCCCCCCACCCCCCCACGCAACCCAGGGACTACTCTGCTCGCTGGCAGCTCACTCTCCCCTCCCCGCTGCCGGAGAGACAGGTAAGTGCGGGGTGCATGCATGACATGGGGTTTACTTCACCCTAAATTGAAGCGGTGGGTTTAAAAACCCACCGCTTCAATTTAGGGCCCCCGTTTTGTCTAAACACGCCCGTAAATGGCCTTTTCTCTCTGCAAGGATGACTTTCTGCACACTCTTGCCACATAATTCAATAAACTCATTCTGACTCTCCCATGAGAGATAATGAGTCTCTCCTTGCATCGTTTTGCCCTCTGTTTGCTTCTGTTTGACTTT